GCACAAGATGCATCAGGTATTTTTTGTGATCTTTTTAAGGCTTTCGACTGTCTTCATCATGAGACATTAATCGGGAAACTACAATACTACGGATCGTACGGTAACGGTGTCAAAGTATATCGCTTAGACTTATTATAAAATGTTCAAAATTGATCAATCAATAATTTAAGAAATTTCGTTAAAGCAAATTATACCAAAAGGAGTTATTATAATATTAAGAAATACAATAATATGTAGGCCACTCAATAAGTTTTGAGATATACAAAAAGTATTCTAGATACTATTAATGTTTATTTTATATGTTTTCAAAATATTCTCCATCATGCTCTCTACAAAGTTCCATTCGCCTAAACCAACTCTGAAAACACTTTTGCCAGTCTTGATCTGACAGGCCGGAAATCGCTTCTTCGTAGGCAGCCACGGCTTCTTCGGCGCATGAAAAAAACTTGCCTTTTATTTTTTCTTCGACTCTTGGGAACAAAAAGAAATTACAAGTCAGGGCTATAGGGTGGGTGACTTAGAGTTTCAACACCAGATTCCTCAATAAATGCTTTTGTTCTAAGGGAGATATGTGAAGAGGCGTTATTGTGATACAGCATGATTTCCCGAAGCCCGGTCTTTGGTCTTCTCTCCCGCACAGCTTGAAAAGGTTTGGGTAATGCAACTATAGTATACCATTCAGAGTTGACTGACGAAAAAAAAACTAGCCACCATTTTTTTGCCGACGTTGCGAGGTCTTTGCAGTTTTGTCGTTAACTGTCCTTCTGAGTAGACCCATACCGATGATTGCCTTTTATTTTCCGGATCATATTGATAGATCCATGTCACCAGTAACGATTTCTGAAACACGCATTTCTGAAACACGGAGACCCTTTTTACTGGAAACGAGGCATTCCATCTTAGTCCTCACGGGCGACAACGCATCTGCATTTTGATTCGTAATCGAGGATAAATGTTGATGTCTATGGGCCACAGCAAACACTTACCTTCAGGTGGACTGTGTGCTCGTTTGTCACCCTTATCCTATAAAAAAAAAACGCCTAGATGCCCCGTTTTTAAAACGTAGACGCATTTCATGGCACCAATCCACACAAGTCTGTTTTTCGCTTTCGGAGAGTAAACGAGGGATCCATCGACAATAAAGACTTTTCAAGATGTTGATGTAGGATGGTATGAATGCTCTCCGAACTAATGCCTACAACCTTTTCGATGTCCGTATATGTGATTCGTGTGTCTTCTCGCAAAAACATTTCAGTAGTCCATATATGTTCTGCCGTTACCGCTGTTTGCGGGGCCCCGGTTTTTTGGTCATCCTTAAGATTAAATTTACCCCTTTTGAATTTAGCAAACCACCCGAAAATTGTTGCACGTGATGAAGCTGAGTCCCTGAATGCTGATTGTAACCGTTGTAAGTTTAATTATTGTTCAGTTAAACCAAATTTAAAATCATAATATATCATAGCGCGCAAATGTTCACGGTTAAGATCCATCGTTTTAAATGAAAAGCGCGGGAAGCGTTGCAGGAAAATTAATAGAATTTTGTTTTTTTTTCAATATTGAGCAATTGGCTTATGGAGTTCTATTTTAATTAAATTTGCTTTTTAGAAACATATCACACGGTTGCGTTCCATTTTTAAATTTCGAGCATGCCAAAACTTATTGAGTGACCTTCGTATGAAATTGAAAATGACCCCTGGGATGAGGTTGTAACTACACTTAGCATATATACCTATAGTGCCTATGTAACTGAATTGTGTAAGGCAGTAGCAATATGGCCGGCACTGATGTAACACGCGTGTATATAATAAACTGCTATTTCTTACAAGGACTTTATCTCATTTCTCTCACACTACACGGACATTAGTTAAAAGGTGATCACTAATTTGTCCAAATTTAATTCATATTTCATGTTTGAGTCTGTTTACTATACGAGTATATGTGGCTAGGTATGTATGAAGTAGTGACATCATACATGCTAAACAAAAATACTTAGCCAAGGAAGAATTATCAGAAAATATTGCACATAGGTTGGTTACAAAGCACAAATAATGATTTAATCATCATTGAAGCGTTGAAGTTAGTTGAAGAGATATTGTGAGCTTATTTATTACGCCGATAATTTAAAAATCGAAGATTCACAATTTCGCGTGAATGAAACGGCCGGCACCACATTTGCTTCTACAGCGCATATAAGTAGAGACGGGTAGCTATTATTCCTCGATCCACCAGGGGTTCGAACAAAACATTCATGCTGAACTTATTGCTGGCCCAACTTTGCTAGGACCACAATGTAACCTTGGCTCTAGCTTCCTCAAGCATTACTGCAATGTTGCTCAACGGGGTTGGATTGCGCATTTGGTGTTCAAATGATTACTTTTAATCTAATAAGGGAAGACACGCCGACGTCTACGTTAGCAAGAGTAGCGGTCGCGGCGCTCTCTTACTATGTTCTAGCAATGCAAGATGATCGTATGGGATGAGTGAATGATGTCATGAAAGAGCGTGATTGAGTCCTTAAACTACAGCCTGCAAGACATCCACAGTGACCAGGCACTCGCTGATGGGCGGTATTGTCGGTTTGCTAGCAGGCGACTATATACATACACTACCAGTAGCAAAAAATCTTACAAGAATTATGCTTGTGGAACTTTATAATGACCAAGAAAAAGGTGCCTATGCAAGTAACTTGCTATAAATGGGAGAGGATCGGCTGAAAACTGGGCAAAATTCATGAGAAAATTAAATAGTGTTGTATTCCAGTGGCGGTAGAAGATTCTACCAAATAATTCTATAAATAAAATTCACAATCAAGATTGGTTAGGTAATTAGGTATGTAAAAAGAAAATGCTGTCCCCAAAACGAATCTGATAATACGAGTAAAATAAATAACAAAAAATTATTGAAGCCGTGGTCAAAAATTTACTTATCAATAGGATAAAATAATCGGCAGTAACGACAGTTTTGCTTACCCAGATGAGTTTCTCAACTCCTTGGAGTTAACGGGTGTGCCTTCGCAAGAGCTGGAGCTAAAAGCTGGCGTTCCAGCAACAGCACCAAGTAGAGCATCGCAGATTTGAGGAGAAATATTATAAAGGCCACTACTCTAACGTGACCTGTTAAATGTGAGCATGTTTTGATTCCCATTATTAAAAATGCTAAAGCATAAAAGGATAAAATTCCAAATAATATGCTACGTGTTTCGACGCTAATCGTATAATGACAGACTCTATTTCTCCAAATGATGCCTAGAGGCGAAACACGTGTCGTTTTGTAAACGGTGGTGTGTATTTCCTAGTATACATAGTGGTGTTGAGGGTAGTGCTGTTGATATTAATAGTGTACGCAATTTAGGAGGGCGGGAGGTTATTTTCAAACTAGCCAAGACATCAAATTTTATTTTTCATGCGCAAATTAATTTTAACATCTTTAATATAATGGATTAGCGGAAAGTAACATTTGATTCTATTAGATATGTCAAACATAAGGAATTTGTACTCCACACGAAAAAAAACCTTGACAAACGTCTTGAAATTACGACATTCAGTGTATGCTTATATAATGTTAAGAATTTGTCAATGTGTGAACAATTGAATGGCTCGGCTCAACCGAGAAACGACCACGCTTTCATAGAATACCAGCGTAAAATAGCAATTTAATGTTGTTTTTTCGTGATGCTGTTGGGTGAGTGTAGAGAACCGCAGACCATTTTTATTAGAAACGAGGCATTTCATCTAAGTCCTCAGAGGTGACAACGCATTAGCATTTTGATTCTTAATGGAGGATTTATGTAGATGTCTATGGGCCACAGCGTCCACTTACCATACTGTGTGCTCGCGTGTCAGCCTTATTTTATTTGAATTGCAATTAGTCGAAAATTTAATTAAGAAAAAAGTAAAAAGTAAAAACGTCGCCTATCATTATCGAAATATTGTAATGTAAATGCAACAATATAACAATTATTTAATTAAATATAAATTTTAAATACAGATTGTCCAATATTGAGTCTAATTATCCAAGAATATTTTAATGTTATAGAAATAATGTTTTCGGCCATTAGTTCAATTTCTTTTTTTAAACAATTTAATGTTTGCGATTTAAAGTTCGTTCGGAAATTAATTAATGATCCGAACACAGATAATAAGGCACCTTTTGCCAACCTAAATAAGCTTTTGTGACATAAGTAAATCCCTACGCACTTAATGGAATAGACTCAGTTTTTTAAATTGTTTAGGGCTTTGTATATTATGTTCATAAAATTAAAATGTTTAAAAATGTATGGTGATGGCACTGGCAGTACTTCAAGATCCTAAAATAGTGGCTGACACGTACTATCAGGTCGCATTCCGCAGGATGTCCTTTTTTCTGCGCACGAAAAGAAAAGAGCCTACTCCTTTTTAAAAGGCCGGCAACGCATCTGCAATTCCCCTGGTGTTGCGGTTGTTCATGGGCGGCGGTAGTCACTTACCATCAGGTGAGCCGCATGCTCGTTTGCCCCCTCTCCTATAAAAAAAAAAAAAAACTAAATGCCCCACGCAAATTCATACTATTTCCCTACATCACCAGACCGTAACGAAGTATAAATCAGCATAAGCTCGGTAAGTCATAAAAGTAGTTTTTGTCGGTACCTTTTTTATTAGTTAACTGCGTCTGAACATTGCTTAACCTTTGTTAAAAATTAAAACGTTAATATTATATGTTTTACAGTTGAAATTCTAGTCTATAGTAAGACCTAAAAATTTTCTTTGTACTACTTCTTAAATATGGGCGTTTTTTTAGTTTTGTAAATAAGAACAATTGTATGTAATACATATAGGTTTCAAAGCTATTTAAAAAGAATAATTATATAATTAATAGCTTTTCAATTTAGCGTAAACGTAGTGATTATATTCTCTTTGATTTAGCGTATCTATTGACAACGTCATAATATTATTTTCTGTGAACTTTATACTATGTGATACTATGTATTTATATCTATATTCATTGCATTAAAGAAATCGAAAATGCGTCGTAAGTACACAAAATATTTATATATTGCCGGCGTATTGTTGGTAATTGGTAACTTACTGGGATCATGCGTGGTTTTCCTTCAAGTCAACGACACGACACATTTCTATTTAGTTAATCCAATGTCATACATAATATCCCAGAAGGACACACTATGTTATAAAAAACGTACAGAGAATACCGCTGATATCGATGGAACAGGTTTCTTCCAGCGACCGACCATTTTTTTTCATTCAACATACTGTGATAAAATACTGGACGATAGTACAGCATGTGCAATAGAATCAGCGGCCAGATTGCACCCACAGACACATATTAATCTTTTATACACTAGTCCAGTAGAACTAAAGACTTGGAACCATCTTTTGAGTATTTTGGTGAAGCTACCAAATTTCCATATGACTGGTATACATGTTGAGAGCTACGCTGACGGTACGGAATTCGAAAAGTTCTGGAAAAGTGTAGTGGTTTATAACAAGGTAGTAGATTATAAACTCGTCGCAGAATACATTAAATTTCTAACTCTACATAAGTTTGGTGGAACAGTGCTTGATAAAGATGTCATTGTTAACAAATGTTTGGATGAGTTGGGTGAAAATTGGGTGATTAGAGAGGGAGAAAGTATGCTTGGTACGGACGCTATAGCTATGTCGAGAAGTGATTTTAATCGTAATTTCACTGCAATGGTTTTAAGGTGAGCTTCAATAGCTTTAGTTTTAAATATGAATGTTTCTGACAATTTACGTAAATTAGTAAAACTTGATCATATTGCTAAGCAAATGTTAGATTATAACTATCTGATTAATGAGCATGTTCAGATTTTTCATTTTATATGGACATGCAAACCATATAACATGAAACATCCATGGCTTACGTGTCGATAATGTCTAGCAGTAGCTGCTATTACTATAACTATTAATATTTGTTGAGTAATAGCAGTGTAAGAGTATCCACAGATTCACAATATTATCCCATGCGTGTCGTAAAAGGCGATAAAGAGAAACAGAAACAGGAGATGGGGAGCAGATTCTTCTTGATAACCACACAAAAATTATAAAAAAACTGCGATTGTTAACACGTCTGCCAATAGTGGCAAATACCACCACTTGGGGGAAGTCTTGGTTTAAACGTGGACTTTGATAAGCTGTAAGCTGTAATGATGACGATGAGTGCTACTATTGACACTGCCAATATTTTCGTTAATTACTCAAACTAAGCTTATATCGCTTGTGATGTGTGCAGTTTGCAACAGCAGTGAAATGGTGAATTTGAAGCCACGAATTTAGTTTCAAACGCCTTTCAAGTGACGGATCCGTGGCGCAGTGGCTTGGCAATGAATTGCAGCGCTAAGGGGCGTGGGTTCGAATCCTGCATAAAACAATTTGTATGGCCTATAAATAGTTCCAGATATGTATGTTTGTTCTTGTGAAATTCATGTATGTAAACTGCCCCTAAGATACAGGAGAAAATCCTAGTGTGGATGTAACGTTTTTCTTTAATCTTACTAACGGCCTTTCACGGAACGACTTTAACCATTAAGTTACTGTTGTTTTGTGATAACACAGGAAAGAGTCAAATATGCTGCACTACTGTGAATAGTCTCACTAAACATAACCCCATCTCAGAAACATTTTTACATGGTAGGGCCGTGGTGTAGCTATATTAGTAGTGTGGTTATGTAAAATAGCAGCTTAACGCTGCTGTGTTTAGTATAGTGAGTGTAGAGAACCGGGGACCCTTTTTACTGGAAACGAGGCATTACACGCTCTTCACGGGTGACAACGCATCTGCATTTTGATTTGTAATAGAGGATAGATGTAGATGTCTATGGGCCGCAGCAACCACTTACCATCAGGTGGACTGTGTGCTCGTTTGTCACCCTTATCTCATAAAAAAACAGCTACAACCCATGGTATTCGGTTCCTGCATCAGTGTATCAATTCTTCTATCAGAAAGGGGTCTAACGCATATTCATCTCACAGGGATTATGTTGCTTTTATCCACTAAAACATCAAGGATCCATGTTCATCACGTATCGAAAGATTAGCAGTAGTCAGTATATCTCCATCGCACACTCTTGAGCCACCAGTATATTGACTTCCTGTATGCCTTATCAGATCGAAAATATTTAGTGGAAGGTCGCTCTAATACTACGTTTGCCCTTACAGTTGTAACTCGAATATTTTTTATCAGTTTTTGGAGTTATACAAATACCTACAAGTAATCAACCCATTACAACTTCATTATAATATTATCCGTTTATATCAGTAGCTCTGGTTTCTTTGCGGTCAACTTCACGATTATTATCGTCCATAGTTTCACCTTAATCTTAGTTACCGTTACAGCCTATAAAATCCACTGCTGACCACAGGCCTCCTCCATAGATTGCCTCATAGGGGGATATTTGCCATAATTGCCATGTTTGGTTTTGGTTGTGGTTAATAAGAAGACGCTGCAGCCCCTCTACTGATTTGTTTCCATCTGTCGCCTCTTACGACACCCACGGGAAGTTGTGGGGTAGTGGATATACTTACACTGCCATCACACGGTAACTACATGGTAATCTAACTTAATTTTAATAATTTTAGGTCATTCAGCCAACAAATTATGAAAGGAAATATAAATGTGAGTGTTGCGATAACTAACTCGTTTAAAAATCTATGTCCTGGAACAGATTTCACAGAAACGTATACAAGATGTCATGGTATGTATTTTTTATAAAATAAAATTTTAAATAAAAATCACGCAAAAGAAACTTAATACATACGTATGTAAAAGTTTGTGACAATGTTTTTACTCAAACACGCACACGCATACAGCTAAATGAAGTCGGTAAAACACAGATACCAGGGCGGCTAAAAAGTTTGCGGCCTAGTGTACTTAACGATGAGTAATTAGCTTGTTACTCATATCACTAGTTGCAAAAGTCAGTAGTAATATAAAAGCAATCTTTTACTAAGTTTGCACGACAATTCCGCCTGTGGTACCGCTCTCGAGCGGTCGTGTCCAGGTAGTCCGCGCATCCGTACCCGTACGGTAGTGCTCTCTCGCTCTCGCGCCTCCGCTGTCCTGCTCGCGCTTACAGCGTCGACGCCTTGGTGAGTCATTTTACGCTAACTCCAGTTATTACCTCCCTGTCTCCGGGCGGGGCGGTTTGACTGTTGGTCTTGCTTGTTATTGTTATTTTTATTGTTAATTCTTTTGGTAACTATTTCTAATTTTGTTTTCGTTATTTATTTGTATAACGTGTACGTGTATATACTGTTTCTAGGGAGTTACTTGCTCTTTTCAGAGCAAGGCCCTGCTCTTTTGAGAGCAGGGGCACTTACTCCTAGAATTAAGAACGTCCCGTTCTTCTCAGAACGGTGATCCCGCCCTTACTGTTTAGGTACATAACGTCTCTGTTCTTTTCAGAACAGCACCCACTAGCCCCTTCCGTATCAAATACGTTTCGTAAAACTACTGCCCTCAACATGTCCACAATTACCCAAATTAAGTCCCTCGTCGCCGCCCTAAACCAAACTCTTGGTCTGGGCCTAAACCTCGATGAGACGGCCCTTGCCGCCATCGCCGCCCATGTTACTCCCCCTGCCCGTCAGGCACTCCAACCGCCGCCCGTACTTGCGGCCTACCTAGAGACAAAGAACTCTTTCGCCCCATTAGAAATGGAGTACGCATGCTCCGAGTCCTCTGCATCGGCCTCCCGGAAGAGGCCCGCCACCAATTCTGGCACCGGCTCATCGGAGTCCTGTGACTCCGACGGAACCGGGGATTCTTCGTTCACCACGGTGAACTCCAAGCGCAACGGTAAACGCGCCGCTAAAAACCGCACCCTTCCTGTCTCAGCGGCCCCTGCCGCTCCTTCAACCTCCGCAGCTCCCGCTGCCGCCTCTGCCCCCGCAGCCCCCGCCGCTGCCTCAGCCCCACTTATGTCACTAGACATTCCCGCTCCGACCAAGCCAGCCTCTCGCTGTGCTCCAGTCCTTGCCAAGAAGCAAGTCCCGCCCCCTGTCTTCCTAAGAGACAAGGCTAAATTCACAGAACTCTCCAAAACCTGCTACAACGCAGGCATAAAATATGACCACGCCATCAACCTCGGGGAGGCTATTAAGATCATCCCCCAATCAATCGACGACTTCCGGCGACTCACCAGGCTATTCACAGCCGAACGAGTTTCTTATCATACATACGCTCTTCCGGAAGATCGCAAAGTCAGGGCCGTCATTCGCGGCGTCCCCTTCGAATTTTCAAACGAAGAAATCCTTGAGGACCTTAAGTCCCAAGGTTTCCCCGTAGAAGCCGTGCACAAAATGCACAGTAGAACAGGCCAGAGGTTCTCTCTTGCCCTAGTAATTTTAACCAACGTGCCGGAGGCGAAAGCCATCTTCCGGCAGGTACGCACAGTGTGCGGCCTGTCGAGAGTGAAGGTTGAGCCTCCACATAGGCGCGGGTTCCCGGCGCAGTGCCACCGCTGCCAGCTGTATGGTCATGCGGCGGCCAACTGCTCCGCCCCACCCAGGTGCGTTAAGTGCCTTGAACCCCACAACACTAAAGAGTGTCCTCGGACCAAAGACGCCGAATCCCCACCCGCGTGTGTCCTGTGTAAACAAACGGGCCACCCGGCTAACTACAGAGGCTGCCCTTGCGCACCTCATCCTCGCCCCAGTAGGCAAGCTCCACCGCCGGTCAATGACCGCTCATTCCCGGCTCTTTACCAACGGATGCCCCGTCAGGGCCTTTCTCAGCCCACCCAGGGCTTCTCTCGACCCTCTCAGGGTCCTCCTAGGCCCCCTCAGGGCACTATTCGGCCCCCTCCGGGCTTCTCTCAGCCTATGCAGCCTCCAGTTTTTCCCTGGGGCCCCAAAAAGGCAGTACCACCGCGGACATCCTCCGCCCCTCAACCACAACAATCACAGCCCTCAATGGCTGATGACCTAAAAACGGTGTATTCCGCAATTAGGAACATCAACGTTGAGGAAATCGCTGTGTTAGCACGCAAATTGCGCGCTGCGAGGTCCCCTCAGGACCGTCTCCTCGCTCTTGCAGAGCATCATAATCTTTTGTGCTCATTGTAAGTTAAGTTAACTTAATTAACTTAACTCACAATGACAGAGCAGTTTGCTCTACCAAAATCCCACGGTCGTATCAAACCTAAGGGTTTATCGCTTGTATCCTTTAACATTCGCGGTTTGCGAAATAACCTCCCAGAGCTTAAGCTCTTTCTTCAAAATCGTGAAACCGATTTCCTCCTCCTACAGGAAACTAATCTCAATACTAAGGACACTAAAGGCCTTTCCATCAAAAACTTCTCTCTTCTTCGTAATGATAGACCCGACCGCCGAGGCGGCGGTACGGCCATTTATTACAAGAAGACACTCCACTGTTCTCCCATTTCTACTCCGCAACTTTCCAACATGGAAGCCACGGTATGCAGGCTAGCTATGACTGGACATCAGTCCATCTTCATAGCCTCCTGTTACATCCCTTCTAAAACCCTTCCCCTCAAAAAAGATTTTGAGGCTATTTTATCTCTAGGCAATTCAGTCATTATGTTTGGAGATTTTAACTCCAAGCATACTGAATGGACATGCCGTACTACCACCCGTAGTGGCAAGTTACTGCTCGATATCACGCAGTCTCTTGATATTACCGTCCACAGTCCTCTCGGTGTTACTCACTTTCCCGATAACACCGACTATGCCCCCGATGTACTAGATTTTGCGTTACTCAAAGGAGTTTCTCTCAACCTTAGGGCAATCGAGACACTAGACGATCTAGCGTACTATCAGATGGCAAGAGCCCTCCGCATAGACGCTATCTTCCACACTCCCCCTCTCTCCCGTCCCGACGGTACGGTAGCCTTTGAGGACGAGGAAAAGGCTGAGTGCTTTGCAGACAGCATTGCCGCTCAATGCTCTCCTAGCTCTCAACCCGTAGACCCCTCACACGTCCAGGCAGTGGAGGATGAGGTCCGCCGCCGGAACTCGCCCCCTACAGCCTCCGAACCTATCTCTGTGTCCAATGATGAGCTTTCATCCCTCATCAAAGGACTTAAGCCTAAAAAGGCTCCGGGCGCGGATGGCATCTCCAACCAAGCCCTAAAAAACTTTCCTGAGCAGGTGCTAACCCTTTTATCTATTATCTTCAATGCCTGCTTCAACCTTAGTTACTTTCCCACTACGTGGAAAGAGGCAACTGTGATTGGTATTCCCAAGCCAGGCAAGCCTCTTAATCTCCCCTCCAGTCATCGTCCCATTAGCCTCCTCAAGGCCATGGGCAAGCTCTTTGAAAGAGTCATTCAAAATCGCATGAGGCGCCATCTGTTTCCCACAGACGGTGACCCTCTTATCATTCCCCATCAATTCGGTTTCCGAGCGAAACACTCCTGCCCCCAACAAGTTCACCGTATTGTGGAATATATCCTTAGCGGTTTTTATCCCCGTCGTCATAAGACTATCGCGGTCTTTTTCGACATCGCCAAAGCCTTCGATAGAGTCTGGCATACAGGCCTTATCTACAAACTATACAAAATAGGTCTCCCCGATCGTCTAGTACGTCTCGTGGCCTCTTATCTTAATCATCGTACCTTTCGTTTTAGACACGAAGGCACGCTATCTTCACAGCGCCCCATCAAAGCTGGTGTCCCTCAGGGCTCAGTTCTTGCTCCTCTGCTGTACATACTGTTCACCAACGACATTCCCATTCCGCCGAAAGGTGTTCAGCTCTCCCTCTTCGCAGACGACACTGCTCTCTACTGCAAAGGTATCTCGCTACCTTTCATACGGAACAAGGTCCAAAAGTCAGTTGATGACCTAGGAGCTTGGTTCAAAAAATGGCGCATCGATGTGAACCCGGAGAAGAGCTCCGCCGTTCACTTCGATTATAAACGACGCCGTCTCAAAAACACTCCACCAATACGTATGCTAGGGACCCCTGTCCCCTGGCATACGTCTGCCAAATATTTAGGTGTCACTCTAGACACAGGGCTAACTTTCAGGCCCCACGTCAAAAGAGTAACCCGTCACGCACGTTTTTACCTGAATAGGCTCAACAGTATGTTGGGCCGACACAGTAAAATGTCCCTCAGAAACAAGCGTACCCTTTATAAGGTCTGTATACGACCAGTCATGTCCTACGCGGGCCCCATTTTCGCCCACTCTAACCCTAAAATTATTAATGAACTCCAAGTAGTTCAAAACCTTTTCTGTCGTCGAGCTGCGAACGCACCTTGGTACGTCCGCAATGCCGACCTTCATCGGGACCTAGAGCTCCCTACAATTCAACAATTCCTTAAAAAACTCTCTGAGAACTTCTTCAAAGCCTCAGAGTCGCATTCCAATCATTTTATTCGTGAGGCTGCTAATTATGCAGCCCCACTCCCCTCCCGCTATAGCGTCCGCAGGCCGAGGAACTCCCTCTCGGACCCGCCTAATAAACTTTCAAACGACCTGAACTGCCTCCTGGCGGCTCAGGCCAACTCTAATTAAGTTATTCATAATTAATTTGCCTTCCCAGGCACTCCCTCAGCGGCTTATAGCCGCCTGCGCCCTCTTTTCCCAAAAGAGGGTCGCTTTACGATACGGCATGTGAAGCTTTCAACAGCTGGTTGCCAGTCCCCAAAGGCAGTTTTTAGAGGGTATCACTTAGGTTCCCCTTGTAGGTAGTGAGTCCCTCATAACCACGATGGACCGGCCATCGTGGTATGCGTAATGCATTTTCTGCCTCCCTTCGGGGTAGCCCTTTTCCAATTGCTTCGGGCGCAAAAAAAAAAAGAAAAAAAAAGTTTGCACTTATAGTTCAATTATTTATTGAACAACAAACATCACCATGTCAGCTGAATCTGGAAATTCTCGGAATTGTGAACATCGCGCCGTGACAACATTTCTCGTAAAGAAGGGAAATAAACCGAAAGACATTTTTGAAGAGATGTCATCGGTTCTTCAGGATTCTGCGACTTTATATACGACAAATATGTCGTATATAAATATATTTTAACAAGGAGGAGAGAGCTCTGAGGACGACCCTCGCCCGGGCCGATCGAAGAATTAAATTGTGACAGATTGCTGAAGAACTGCAAATTAGCAAAGAATGAGTTGGAGAAATTTTACATGAACATTTTGTGAGCTTCATAATTATTATTAATAAATAATAATTAAATTCACCATAAAGACATTTAAAAATGTTATAGAAATTATATTTTAAACAATTAAAATGCAAATAATAATCATAAAGTTCAAATATATTCATATGGAATATTGAATATTATAGTATTAGTAAACGCATAAATTGTCTCTAAAAATCTTTAAATTTATTAAAATTCTGCTTAAAATATTCAAAATGTATTGAATCATATAAATACAAGTAGATTATATTGCAATAATAAAGATAAATAACATTTGTAATAAGTTGATGAAGGTGTTCTTGTAATATTCCCTTATCTGGGGGCGTTGCCGGAGATCTTTCGGATTAGGGTGAGTGTGTTTGGTAGTACTTTTAAGTGCAGCAAGTATACTCAACTCCATGTCTTAGTGCAATAGCGCTATGATACGTGGAGTTTTGGCTACTGACGTCTTAGTACCGTGCTACTTTGATACGTTGGTGGTATTTTTAGTTAACAACATTATCAATTTTGTTACCAAAGTCGATAGGGATCATGTGGGTGTGTTGTGAGGGGGCGCCATCCGTATGATAGTTGCATTGATGCTTACTGCTACTTGCAGTATTGCGTCTTGTGATGGATCTGCGGGTGTGCTGCACCTAATTCGACGCATCTTGTGGTTCTGGTCGATGGAGGTATGCGGGTGGTGATGTCTGCTGGGACTGTATGGGGGACCTTGGGATGGTGTAAGCCCGACGATAGTCGTATTGATGCTTGTTGCGTTCTGCAACACTGCGTCTCTGCGATGGTTGTTTGGCGGGTCGCTATTCTCAATGGCGCTCCCTGCGTCTTGGTTTGACTCACAACCTAAGTAGCTTTGCCCAAGTCGGGTCCCTTCATTGCGGGGCTACCGACTGTCTGACCTCCATGATGTTTTATATAACAATATAATAATATATCTCTATGAAGTTCCCACCTTTGAAAGATTGAAGGTAACTTGTTGGTGGGTGAGACAAACATGATCGAAAAATGCATACGAGTATACTCAACGTCAGGAGCACAAACCCTTTCTGATGGCGAATTATTACTATTATCTTATAACTGCCTTTTGGCTATATCTGCCATTGTATTGGCTGGTGGAGCATATGTGTCGACCTCATGCGGGTGGTAGCTGTAGGGAGAATCTGAGGAGGCTCTCAAGGCTGCGGCCGAAAGCCGCACAACGTGGGACCCCATTCCCTTGAGGTGAGCGGTGACACGCTCTGCGCCCAATTGGCCGTGCTGACCATGCAATTGGTGGTGATGCCTTACACTTACATTACGTCTGCAGGAACGGCGATCTGGCAGGTGGTGGCGCTCACGGAGGGCTTTTTATGGCCAGTGTGCCTATTGTTGCCTAACCCGTGTGACGTACATTCACTGTGGCTGGATTTGATCGTGTTCTGTATGGCGTTTACACGCATTGACATGCGCGACTTCGGTCGATGTTTGTGCTTACGCACTATCAAGGGGCCAAGTCCTCTTTTACTGGTTCGCCAGTTATTTTTCTGTGGACTACGGTCCAGTTCCCAAATTGGCGTACCCTTCGGGGGAAGCGCATTAAAATGGTTGGCGCTCACCGTGCACGGCGTGTGCGGAGCCGTGTACCTCCTCCACATTTTTTTTAAATGCGGGAGAGCGAAACCCTATTATCTGGTATTTGATATAAATATTGTGAGCCTTTTCCAAGCGGGAAGGGATTAATTAATAAGGAATTGACTGTTGTGAACCTGATACAAGTGGAATAGGGACATTTTATTGTTCTTAACTTTTTTGAGCTCTGTCTTCGTGAACGTGGTTCTTTAGCTTGTTAGACGCTACCAACAGCTTTCGATTGCTCTCATGAATATTCATTCTTCCAAGATTCACCTAAAAGAACTAAGTTACTATACAAACACAACGTAAATAAGGGTCCTAACTAAGACGATCACGCCATAAATGTTAAAATAAATGTAAATAAATGTTAAACGGCCTATATTTGAACCTTTAGAAAGATCAATGTATCATTAATATGCTGGTCACGAAAATTATATATATTTATACATCTTATAGATATAGATTCTAAAGAAATACAAGTACAAGTATATATATAGAGTAGGGCGAGGGGGGGGTCGTTACAATTTGAATATGAGAAAAATTTGCGCGCACTGGATGCGGAAAATGCAAAGTTGCAAAGATTTTTTGGAGCTAGTCAGCGATAACAAGGTAGACATTTGGCACCGGATAGTCACCGTAGATGAAATATGGATTAGCCAATATGATCCGGAGTTCAAACAAGAGTCCATGCAATGGATAATAAAAGGAGAAAGGCCACCCAAGAATTTCAAGCTGGAAAAGTCGGCGTCCAATGGCAACTGTTTTCTGGGATAGCGAGAAAATTTTGCTTATCGACTACCTACAGAGAACTACGATGAATGGCCAGTATTACGCCAATTTATTGACTCAGGTTCGTGAAGCTATTGTACAGAAACGATGTGGGAAACTGACGCGCGGAGTGCTCTTTCTGCAAAACAACTTTCCCGTTCACACCGCACATATTTTCTAGGCAAGCCCTGTAAGACACGGGCTTCTTAGATATTGATCATCCTCCGTATACTCCAGACCTCTAGCGATTTTTTCCTGTTTTCCAATTTGAAAAAAGACTGGAGAGAGGAGAAGGAAAGACCGGAGACGGCTCCATGGCGCAGTGGCTTATCAATGAGTTGCTGCGCTGGGGGCCGCGGGTTCGAATCCCGCACGGAACAAGTATTTGTATGGCCTACAAATAATTGTTTCGGGTCTGGATGTTTGTCCTTCTGCAATTTGTGTTTGTAAACTGCCTCTGCGATACAGGAGATAATCCTAGTGTGGGGGTAACGCTTTTAAAAAAGAAAAATAAAGAAAAATAGAAAAATAGATTTGCAGATAAAAACGAAATGAAAGCTGCGGTTGATCGTCTTCTTTAAGACAAAGATACAGAATATTTGTTGGGTGGGTTAAAGGCGTTGTATGCGAGATGTGAGAAATTTATTTCTCTTGAGGGAGATTATATTATTACAAAAATAAAAAATAGAAGCCATATATTTTATTTCATTAAGTACCTTAGTCCGCGGACTTATCAAGCCGACCCTCGTAAGTAAGAAAAGATAAAGGTGCACATGGGAGATGTCGGTTACTCTAGTTTTGCTGCGATGCATCTGTCGATTAACTTCTCGGTCGAAGTTGGACTTATCTAGTCGGACTATTTGTCCCAGATAAACATACTCGTCAACAACTTCGAGCTTAGTTTTTCCTACAAATTCCGGCATAGGTGTGCCTTGAACGTTGATAAAATAAATGGTTCTTAATGGTTATTTAAAAAAAAATCTAAATGACGACACCACATTAATAGATCTCACCTAGGCCAGGCCGGCTGGGTCGTTAGTAAAGAATAAATGTTAACTTTTTTCTTAAGTTCGATTTTATTTTCAGGTTACGACATATATGACGGTAAACAGTTTCACCCAATAGATCACAGCGAAAGGCAACAATTTCTTCAGTCCGGAAGTTACAATAAAAAGGCGCATGCACATCGTCTTTGGGACGTAGAAGTCCCGGGAAAGATGATACCTTATAAAACCTTATACGCTGAGATAGCACAGACATTTTGTCCATGGGTTTTTTCTAAATTAAATAATGAGTATTGAGAACTAGCATGTTTATTATTAAGGTCAAGTGGAAGACTTTTAACACTGGACATATATATTTTAACAAAAAGTAAGAGAATGCATTACCTTATATACCTTATATACCCAGTGGGTATCGTTCGTGGCGATAGAGGAAACTGAAATAGGAAATAGACAGCTGCAAAAACTGCTGATATCAGAGTTTGTGGTCTGAAAGAAGATGTAGTGACAAAAATTGAGAAAGGTATGCTGAGATGGTTTGGCCATGTCGAGAGAATGAATGAAGAACGATTGACGAAAAAAGTGTATAAGGCGAGTGCGAATGAAAGTGTTGGAAGGGGTAGGTAGACCTAGGCGGACATTTCTAGACCAAATCAGGGACGTCTTGAAAAAAGGCCAGGTCAAGAGTACCTTAAACCGTAGAGCATGTATGAAGGGAATAATGAAAGTGGACGAAGCAAAACAAGTATGTAAGGATCGTAGCAAGTGGAAAGAACTGGTCTCTGCCTACCCCTACGGGAAAGAGGCGTGATTATATGTATGTATGTATGTATGAACCAATATGATTGAAGGAGCAAGGGACGATAAAGAGGGCAATTTATATATTCGTTGATTAGTCAGTGCAGACCAGGGTTGCCAACTTTATATTTTAGGAGATCGTACCATAAACTGAAAAAAATCGTATTTTGCTAAAAAGTCAATAGAAAATAGTACGCATTAAAATTTCAATAAAAAATGGTGAAAATACAAAAATAATATTATTATACGTCAAAGCAAAAGTTAACATATAGGGTATAACATTTAAGAATCTGACACTAAACTCTACTGCGACTTTTTTTTATTAAAGAAAAGGGGCTTTGGACTGTGTCCACTCTGCCCTCTATTACAAAAACAGGGATACTTTTACTTTTTCATTAAACATAAACTCACACTCAACATAGAAAAATATACTTATATGTATTACTATTAAGCCCTGAGATCATTTCACATTACAAAATAAATAACAAAGTTACTATTAATCATATAAATCAATACAAACATAGCTCTTAGAGTATAATATGACCTATCAGGTCCTTGATAAAAAATAAGATTGACTATAGTAATGGCGCAATATTTAAATTAAAATTAACCGAGTAATACTCATAATGAATCGGCACAACTTCGAAAAATTATTGGATTGGATACGTTTATAAAAAAATACAAAGAAGAAGTTTAGAGCTTGTTAAAACATTATAAGATTTGAAAAGATCGTATATTTTGCGTACGATTTCGAACAGTACATCGATTTAGTACATCGTACTAGGGCCAATGACGTATTAAAAAAGATAGACAGGTTACACACTAACATTATTGTATTTTAAAGTGGCGCAGGTAGTACTATATCTACGTACAGTTATTTATTATGACACGTTGCGCTAACAAAAAGAGACAAATGATAGGGTATAACTATCGTTAGAATAAGATAAATATACATCATTAGTTGCGTATCGATTGCCGCCAAGCGCTCATTGGCGCGAGCGCGTGACGTACCGTCATGGAAAATGAACACACTAGCTAGCGTCAAAGTTTAAACTAGCGGTTAGTGTTGAAATAATAAAACCAATTATGAACAAAAAATGTATATTCAAAATATTAATAAGACGTTTTTCTAGTCTCTAACAGTTGCCGTGTAATTTGTGCACCACCTAAAAACACAGGAAGGCATTTTTGCCACGAATAACTAGAAGATTTACGCGCCGTAGCGAAGGTATAGCCACGACGGGGGAGCGTGCCCGACTGAATGCGAGTCGGGCAATTACTTGACTTTCGTATTGCCATTTTAGAGCGAGTATGATGTATCTATACTTTTAAAAACATCTTAGACTAGGGCCAAAAAGATCCTATGAATAAGATTTAAATCGTACGGTTGGCAACACTGATGCAGACATAAATGATGGTTAAAAATTTACTGTGTTCAAATGAAGACAGCTTGAAGTGTGAAAGTCTAGATTCAAAAGAGTCTAGCTGACGATGGAGATTATTTTTGTAAATGAAATTTGATACAAAAACCCTAAATATTAAACCTTTAAGGTGTGATGCTTTTTAACTACCTAGCTACACCCAAGTCACGTACACTACAGGCACAGACAGGTTTTTATTCGTAAGTATTCTTGATATAGTAAGAGACATGCTTCGGACATGTTTTTCTCAAAAAAACTAAATGAACACATTTTGCTTAATTAAGTACCGTTTTATTTTATACACACCAGTCGTTAATAGTATTAAGGTAGCGTTGTATTTCTTCGACAATGGCAATGTCAGCTTCTAAATAGTGTATATCACTTTTTTTTCTTGTTCGGCTACTATCAATAATTCTTGCAGCGTCAAGTATTTTAAGTTTTTTATGTTAAAATCTCACATTATAAATCATGTTATTACCCTTTGAAAAAAAAAACTGTTCTTTAATTTATCAGATATTAAACTTATAAAGTTCGAAACAAGTGTGGTATGTGTAACGTGACCATTTATTATTTTTGTCAAAACGGGACGTCTCTTGCGGAATTATGGTAAATAAAAGTTTTTGGTGGTTTACAAGTTTTTTTATTAAAGAAGGTAATAACAATAATAAAAAATAACCAAGGCACTTATTACAAAATAATTAAGTAGGTTGCATGAGTTACTAAGCCCTAGTAGTGGCTTCTACATAGTATTTTTGTATTTGTCGGTTGAACAAATTAGTTTTAAAATATCGAGTCTGGTTTTTAGGTATATATGGAGCTCAGTACAGGATTTATTTATATTTAATTTTGTAATTAAAATGGCTTTCACTACTGCGACACTTAACTGAGTTTTATCACTGGTCCATATTTTGTTCATTTGAGAAAAAACTCTTTCTACCGGCGCATTACCTCCTGGAAGACACATAATATACTCAATAATTGTACGAAAGTTCGTTAAGTGGAGATAGTTGGCACGGAAGTACTGGAATAATTCAACCCAGCTGTCTTCAACAGCAATATTCTCATTATTCCAGCGAGTGATTTTTCATCTTTTTTTTTATAGGATAAGGGTGACAAATGAGCACACAGTTCACCTGATGGTAAGTGGTTGCTGCGGCCCATAGACATCTACATCTATCCTTTGTTACAAATCAAAATGTAGATGCGTTGTCACCCGTGAAGACTAAGATGGAATGTCTCATTTCCAGTAAAAAGGGCCTCCGGCCACCTGTACTCACCAAGTGAAACGCAGAGGTAAACCTCTACTTCACGCTGGTTTTCTGTGAAGTCGTGGTACTACCCCGGTTCGAGCCGGCCCATTCGTGCGACAGCAAAAGCTGCCGCGTGGCTCTACAACTGTCATCTGTCGCAAAGTTGGAAATAAGCGAAAACTCGTCAGAATTTATGTATCTTGGCTGCTGCTTATAAACCCTTGCGTGATCAGCAAATCCATTACTTTTTGTACCTCATTCCAAGTAGGTGCTTTTGTTATATTTGTCCATTGAAACAATTGTAGTTCTATGTTGAATTGACACCACTGCTCCAAATATTATTTGCTTGTCCTATAAAACTCAGCCGCTGCAGTTTTAACATTCTGCTGATCAACAGCAATTTCAGTTCCTTGTAATTGTTACGGACGGTGTGAGGAAAGAAAATCTTTTTTTTTTATAGGATAATGTGAAAACGAGCACACAGCCCACCTGATGGTAAGTGGTTGCTGTGGCCCATAGACATCTACATCTATCCTCGTTTGCGAATCAAAATGCAGACGCGTTGTCAGCCGTGAGGACTAAGATGGAATGCCTCTTTTCCGGTAAAAACGGTCTCCGATTCTCTACACTCACCATACGATACACAGCAGCATTAAGCTACTAATTTACGCTGGTATTCTGTGAGAGCGTGCTCCCTGGTCGAGCCGACCCATTCGTGCTACAACTATACTACCAATATAGCTGCAGCATGGCTCTACCACGTATAAAGCGCTAACTTTGAGTGCCAGGTTATTGCGGAGACGATTAGTTTCTTATGCAGACTCTATTGCAGACATGTTTTTACCCATCAATTATTAACACAGCTTCATGAAATGTCGCTGCTTGTGCGTGCAAGAAATATAACCACAACTCTGATCTGGGAATTTCAAAAAACATTTTTAAAATATTTGGGAATTCGTCTATACTTAGAAAATAGCTTTTTAAAGGTTGAAACATTTTTAGAACACTCTCAAGCGTTGGCATTAACGCAAGCCACCTTGTTTTACTGTAGGCCAGCAGTTTGTGATACTCTGTGTCAGTTGAATCACAAAACTCTTTCAAAAATTCGACTCGAACGCTGTAGATGTAGAAGTATGAAGTTAGGTCTGTTTGCGAAAGCGGGACAATTATGCCTGCGCTGGGGACAGCACTACAGACCACCTGAAAGCGGGACTGTCCCGCCCAAAGCGGGACGTATGGTCACGTTAGGTATGTTTCGTCATATATTTAATAAATTCAGTGTGAACACAAGGAATGCATTTGCTTTTTAGTTATTTGCCGGTGAGACTCGAATTTTTGCTTTTAGTTGTTTTATAAGTTTCGATTTGAATAGTCTATCATTTTTGTAATACTGGTAGTGATAAAAACTTAACCTCTAAATATATTTTGGAAATTCCGTATGGTAAAATTCCATCATATACGCCAGTCTTGTCTCGTTTCAGATAAAATAAACCGTTAAGTTTAAGGCTAGACTATGCCAAATTTACCCGTTTTAAAATAAATTTTACAATTATCGCTGACGTTATTTTAGACTAAAAAAAGACGCAAAGTTATAGTCTAGACGAAGCTGCCGTTGGAAACAGGATGCATAGAAATATCTGAAGTTACGTCTTTTCATCACAAATTTTTAAAGTTTAGTCAAAAGTTAAATTTTGAAATTTGAATATAACAGTAGTAAATATAACACATAGTTTTAATGTAAAACATGTCGTTTAGGATCTGATTCTGCCAACACTCTGAAATAAATACATATTATTTCCACAAATTAAAATGTAAACGAATTTTATATGTG